GAAAGCTGCAATCCAGAGTTCAACCTGTATTTCCAATCGAACATAGTTGAATAAGCAGTCCCGTGCTCATGCGGGCACACGTCACCTGGTCAACGTGCCTGCAGCCTACACCTTTCACACCCAGGTTCAACTCGAGTTCAAATCGAATCACTTTTAAGTTGTACCCTTCAGGCTACGCTCTTTCATATTAGTATGCGCAACTATAAAGCCTTCCAACTTGGAAGGTTCTAAGTTATGAAAATTAATAACATGAAAGGCGAAGGTGAGAACGCTCAAGGCGAAAACAAGCTAACCATCACGGCAAACTAAGAATGTTAGCTTTAATGAGATGGTGACGAAAGACGAAGGACCACGGCACAGGATGGTCCCGGCTCACTATGAGAACGCGAAACCACAGCCACCGAATTTGTGAGGCTCATGTTTACATGTAACATTCTGGTCCTTTCTTTTTAAATTTAATCCTTGACTCTCCATTCGAGTATTTTATAATGAATCAATTTCACATAATCACTACGCCCAGGTTCACGCCTAAGGCGAACTGAGCTTAAGGCATCTCCTGCTTCTTAGCTTCTAAATGAAAGTTTTGTTGGAACGCTCTACCCGATGTGAACTGCCGGTACATAAATATTTGCTGGCTGCCGAGTGTTGCACACGAAACTCCGAGTAACATCGAAAAAGGATATGTTTGCTTCATCGCTGTGTAATCTTTGTATTACTGGCTCTGTCCTCTGGACAAAGAGCACTATACGCAGCCTGTGGACCTTAGGCAAGATGATGAACTGGATATTATTACAGTGCACATCAGAACAGGTTCGCCACCAAGGTGAGTCGATAACACACAGCCGTGTCCATATGGCTCCTACGGTACAGGAATGCCTGAAGTGGTGAAAATAGCCTCCAGGTCCTGTGAACCAAGAGAACCAGTGCATATCAAGCCTCTACGTTCCGGTGATTGGCAGGTCGCAGAAAAGCTGTAGACCAACAGGAAATGATGGCCCTAAGCCAACTACACGCAGCGAAGCATGCTGATTATTCTTGATGGTGTGGAAAAGCTAACCCCTGAAACAGATGCTTGACAAAGTCATTTGTCACGTATGATTCCACCAGAGGATGTCTAGTCATGGGTGAGTGATTTGAATTGTATCCTAATTGTTAGGAGGAAACGAAATTGTGGTATGCTGATATCCTTAATTCTTTCTTAAATTAGAATGCTCACGGCTTCACCTGACACCTAGTGCATGGCGAAACTTCTTTTCAAGCATAAACTACATCCTCATGGGGGCTACCTAGTCATGGGTGAGTGCTTTGCGTTTTCGCCTAATTGTTAGGAGGAAATAAAAATAATAATAATAATACACTTTTGTCAATAAGACAGATCACGGTTTCACCTAACTTCTGGTGCATGGCGAGTACTATTCAAGACCTGGAGGTGAAGCTGCAGGCTGCTGACGCGGAAAAATGGACGCTGTCGGAGCACGTGTCTTTGCAGGAAAAACCGTACGCGGTTTGGTAGAGGATTTCAACTCTAGGCTGGCGCAGCACAGATGGCAGGTGGTATCTAAACTCTTGGCAATCTAACTTGCGCACTTCCACCGAAACTGGGTGGCTGCACCCTAATAGAAGGGGATTTTTATGTAAAATGTCATCAATGATGCAGACAGCCAGACTGTTTCGGCCAATGAAAAAAGTGCCTTTTCGTTCTTATAAAGAACGTGTTGTAGTCTTTCGGAAGTTGAGTCGATTGGTTTTGGTCCCAGAAAGCTGCAAACCAGTGTTCGACCTGTATTCCCAATCGAACATATTTGAATAAGCAGTCCCGTGCTCATGCGGGCACAAGTCACCTGGTCACCGTGCCTGCAGCCTACACCTTTCACACCCAGGTTCAACTCGAGTTCAAATCGAATCACTTTAAGTTGTACCCTTCAGGCTACGCTCTTTCATATTAGTATGCGCAACTATAAAGCCTTCCAACTTGGAAGGTTCTAAGTTATGAAAATTAATAACATGAAAGGCGAAGGTGAGAACGCTCAAGGCGAAAACAAGCTAACCATCACGGCAAACTAAGAATGTTAGCTTTAATGAGATGGTGACGAAAGACGAAGGACCACGGCACAGGATGGCCCCGGCTCACTATGAGAACGCGAAACCACAGCCACCGAATTTGTGAGGCTCATGTTTACATGTAACATTCTGGTCCTTTCTTTTTAAATTTAATCCTTGACTCTCCATTCGAGTATTTTATAATGAATCAATTTCACATAATCACTACGCCCAGGTTCACGCCTAAGGCGAACTGAGCTTAAGGCATCTCCTGCTTCTTAGCTTCTAAATGAAAGTTTTGTTGGAACGCTCTACCCGATGTGAACTGCCGGTACATAAATATTTGCTGGCTGCCGAGTGTTGCACACGAAACTCCGAGTAACATCGAAAAAGGATATGTTTGCTTCATCGCTGTGTAATCTTTGTATTACTGGCTCTGTCCTCTGGACAAAGAGCACTATACGCAGCCTGTGGACCTTAGGCAAGATGATGAACTGGATATTATTACAGTGCACATCAGAACAGGTTCGCCACCAAGGTGAGTCGATAACACACAGCCGTGTCCATATGGCTCCTACGGTACAGGAATGCCTGAAGTGGTGAAAATAGCCTCCAGGTCCTGTGAACCAAGAGAACCAGTGCATATCAAGCCTCTACGTTCCGGTGATTGGCAGGTCGCAGAAAAGCTGTAGACCAACAGGAAATGATGGCCCTAAGCCAACTACACGCAGCGAAGCATGCTGATTATTCTTGATGGTGTGGAAAAGCTAACCCCTGAAACAGATGCTTGACAAAGTCATTTGTCACGTATGATTCCACCAGAGGATGTCTAGTCATGGGTGAGTGATTTGAATTGTATCCTAATTGTTAGGAGGAAACGAAATTGTGGTATGCTGATATCCTTAATTCTTTCTTAAATTAGAATGATCACGGCTTCACCTGACACCTAGTGCATGGCGAAACTTCTTTTCAAGCATAAACTACATCCTCATGGGGGCTACCTAGTCATGGGTGAGTGCTTTGCGTTTTCGCCTAATTGTTAGGAGGAAATAAAATAATAATACACTTTTGTCAATAAGACAGATCACGGTTTCACCTAACTTCTGGTGCATGGCGAGTACTATTCAAGACCTGGAGGTGAAGCTGCAGGCTGCTGACGCGGAAAAATGGACGCTGTCGGAGCACGTGTCTTTGCAGGAAAAACCGTACGCGGTTTGGTAGAGGATTTCAACTCTAGGCTGGCGCAGCACAGATGGCAGGTGGTATCTAAACTCTTGGCAATCTAACTTGCGCACTTCCACCGAAACTGGGTGGCTGCACCCTAATAGATGGGGATTTGTATGTAAAATGTTATCAATGATGCAGACAGCCAGACTGTTTCGGCCAATGAAAAAAGTGCCTTTTCGTTCTTATAAAGAACGTGTTGTAGTCTTTCGGAAGTTGAGTCGACTGGTTTTGGTACCAGAAAGCTGCAAACCAGTGTTCGACCTGTATTCCCAATCGAACATATTTGAATAAGCAGTCCCGTGCTCATGCGGGCACAAGTCACCTGGTCACCGTGCCTGCAGCCTACACCTTTCACACCCAGGTTCAACTCGAGTTCAAATCGAATCACTTTAAGTTGTACCCTTCAGGCTACGCTCTTTCATATTAGTATGCGCAACTATAAAGCCTTCCAACTTGGAAGGTTCTAAGTTATGAAAATTAATAACATGAAAGGCGAAGGTGAGAACGCTCAAGGCGAAAACAAGCTAACCATCACGGCAAACTAAGAATGTTAGCTTTAATGAGATGGTGACGAAAGACGAAGGACCACGGCACAGGATGGCCCCGGCTCACTATGAGAACGCGAAACCACAGCCACCGAATTTGAGAGGCTCATGTTTACATGTAACATTTTGGTCCTTTCTTTTTAAATTTAATCCTTGACTCTCCATTCGAGTATTTTATAATGAATCAATTTCACATAATCACTACGCCCAGGTTCACGCCTAAGGCGAACTTCACTTAAGGCATCTCCTGCTTTTTGTCTTCTAAATAAAAGTTTTGTTGAAACGCTCTACCCGATGTGAACTGCCGGTCCATCAATATAATATTATGCTGGTTGCTGAGTGTTGCACACGAAACTCCGAGTAACATCGGAAAAAGATTTGTTTCCTTCATTGCTGTGTAATCTTTGTATTACTGGCTCGGTCCACTGGACATAGAGCACTATACGCAGCCTGAAGACCTTAGACAAGATGCTGAACTGGATATTATTACAGTGCACATCAGAACAGGTTCGCCACCAAGGTGAGTCGACAACACACAGCCGTGTCCATATGGCTCCTACCCTACCGGAATGCCTGAACTGGTGAATATAGCCTCCAGGTCCTGTGAACCAAGAGATTCAGTGGATATCAAGCCTCTTTGTTCCGGTGATTGGCCGGTCGCAGAAAAGCTGTAGACCAACAGGAAATGATGGCCCTAGGCCAACTACACGCAGCGAAGCATGCTGATTATTCTTGATGGTGTGGAAAAGCTAACCCCTGAAACAGATGCTTGACAAAGTCATTTGTCACGTATGATGCCACCAGAGGATGTATAGTCATCGGTGAGTGATTTGAATTGTATCCTAATTGTTAGGAGGAAACGAAATTGTGGTATGCTGATATACTCTGAATTTTCTTCAATTAGAATGATCACGGCTTCACCTGACATCTAGTGCATGGCTAAACTTCTTTTCAAACATAAACTACATCCTCCCGGGGCAACCTAGTCATGGGTGAGTGCTTTGCGTTTTCGCCTAATTGTTAGGAGGAAATGAAATTGTGGTAAGCTGATTTATAATAATACACTTTCGTCAATTTGAATGATCACGGCTTCACCTAACGTCTGGTGGATGGCGAGTACTCTTTTCAAACATACGATACATCTTCCACACGCCTTGATCTATTTAAACGCAGCGTGCTGATGGTTCGTCCCAGAAGCTTTACCACCAAGCAGCAAGACAAAGTTGAGCTCGGTGAAGTTCGCATTGCGACCTCTTAGAACAATTGACGTCTGATTTAAGGTCGTGCCAAAGCCTTGCACGGCTTAGTCGTAAAAAAGCTCCAGTTCCTTGAAACAAGATGTTATTTACGTTTTAACAGGGCAAGTTACATGTGCAGGTAATCTCTGTTTGCTCTCTGAGAAGGATTTGGCACCGCGCTGAACATATCGAGCAGAAATGGATAGACGGTGGTCGGTTTGCGCGCCTATTTTTCTCTGCCTGGTCTGCTGGTTCTCATCCTCTTTTGGTGAGCAGCTTCATTTTTTTCTTCTTTTTTGTTGTAAACCTAGCTGACTAATTCCAAATTGATCCTACAACATCGCATGTGGGACAGAGTCTGCTTTCTAGATTATTTTGTCAGAATAAATATACAGGAAATACGAGAGGCCGTAGAGTGAGTGCAAATTACTTATAAATGTTCGCCGAGGTCGCTACCACCATTAATTGTAATACCTGTTATGCAATAAGAATCACGGAGCAGAGTTTGCAATGATCAAGGTGTGTTTGAGCCCATTATCCCAACGGGGTGATACTGTTGAGTGTGATCTTCTTTAAGGAGACTCTTAAGAAATGTCCCAACAACGAATAATTCATCCTCTTCTAACTATTGAAAAATTCCTTCCGTGAGGTAAGGCGGTGTGGCATATAGATACCACATCATCAAGGTATCTGTATGGCGAAATCAAAGTTATTTTATACTAAAGGATCTAAAATTCAGCTACACTTTGTGTTGCAATTCAAATTATAATTCAACACCAGCAACAACACTTAATGTATATGTCTATTACAAAATTAATATTCTCCAAGCTCACATATAATCTATTCAAGCACACACTTCAACGTAGTCATCAATTGGGCTCGGAAACATTGTTTTTTTTGTGTATTGAAGCCTCTACAAGCGTTCGTCTTGCGGGTGGATCTAATCCGCTTAGAGGTCGTGTGGAGGTTGGCTTGAGCGACGGCACGTGGGGAACCGTCTGCGACGATTACTGGGACATCCGAGACGCAACTGTTGTTTGCCGCCAACTCGGGTAAGTAAGTTAATGGCATAGTCTGAACCAAAGCATTAGGGTCCATAATTATTATTCAACCATCACCCCCGCCCTCGCCAAGTATGCTTTCGTAAACACAGGAAATAAATTCATTAAGCGTCCTAGTGGAATATGGGAATATGAAGTATAATATTTGAAATTGAATTAACAATGTGGAAGTGATGCACTTAAGTATTTGCTGTGCAGTCTGCTACTAATTCTAGGTTTTGAACTCGCCAGATTCTTCTATCTCCCTTGACTCCATTACCTAGGGTGCATTTGATTGGCACGATCTAGAACAGGATCGAACAGCTGGTGCACATGGACCAGCCTCATGCCAAACACACGGTACTCCAGAAACAGAGCACATGTTTGTGAAAAATGTGCCAAACTTGGTGCATTCTTCAAAATGTGTATGAGTCACCATGGTCACTTTGTACGGTACTACGAATCCAACCCGACATGCTTCCCGTCGAAAGTGCCCCTTTGTTACGTCAGAGCTACAAGCACTAATTAGGAGGCGCAAAGCGGCCTTTCGCACGTGGCGCAAGGGAGGCTCCACAGACACCAAGCTTTACAACAGCTTTCAGCGCCTTCGCACCCAATGTAACAATCTCTATCGTTGTCTGCGGAACCAGTACTATCAGAAAATGTGTGCCAAATACAGAAAATCTCCGCGTCGCTTATGGGCTACAACTATGTGACAAAGCGTAAACCAAAGTCGTCTCCCATTCTTGCACCTAACCTGAATGACCACTTACATGCAATAGTCCACGACCCCACAAGCACGTACGACCTGCCGTCTGCACCGGTCCTTGAAGATGCATTGACCTCTTTCGATCGGGTCAGCACTACAGAGGTAGAGCGTGCTCTTCGCTCCCTTATACCGTGCAAGGCACCGGGTTCAGATGGCCTTCTGCCTGGTTTCCTCAAGTCTATGGCGTCCTCCTTGGCGCCTTCTTTGGCACAAATCTTCAGCGCGTCTCTTAGCAGTGGAGTGTTTCCTTCTGCCTTTAAGCGAGCGAACATCACCCCGATCCCAATATCCGCCCAGACCGACGTCTACAGCGCAACGAGCTACCGCCCAGTTTCGCTGACGTCGATCCTATCCAAAGTGTTGGAATCCGTGGTAATGTCGCAACTATTCTGTCGCCTGGACTCGACTACATTCCTACATGATCACCCATTTTGGTTCCGCACAAATCGCTCCGTCCATCAACTGCTCTCTCTGGCAATTAATGACTGGTGTCTTGCTCGGGACCAGAACCTGACCTCTGTTGTCGCGTTTCTTGACCGTAGTAAAGCGTTCAATCGTGTGCAGCATCAGCAGCTACTCTTGGCTTTGCACGAGATTGGTATCAGCGGATCAGCACTCTCATGGTTTAAATCCTACCTTTCTGGCAGAGCCCAGCGGGTCCTCAGGTATGGTGAGGTCTCTCCATTTCTACCTGTCACTCGTGGGGTCCCGCAAGGCAGTGTCTTGGGCCCAACTCTGTTTAACATCTATGTTCGCCGCCTTCCTGCAACTGCTGACACATCCGGGACGAAATTGCTCGCTTTTGCGGACGACAAAACGGTGTACGCATCCTGTTCGACGGCAAAGGAGGCTGCAGATTTAGTTTCCCACACGTTATCAGCACTCGCTACTGATCTTCAGCAACCTGGCCTGACTATCAATGAGAATAAGACTGTTGTAATGTTCATCGTTGCCAAGCACTCGCCGGTCTGTCCCACGCCCACTGTCTGTATCGATGGTAAACTGCTGACAGAAGTGTCCAGTGTTCGCTGTCTTGGGGTTGTAATTGACAACAAGCTCTCGTTCACACCTCATTGTGATAAGCTTGTTGCCAAGGTGTCACGCAAAATTGGTGCTCTACGGCGTTCTTTTCGTCAACTGTCCCCATGCGCTTGTCGCCTTTATGTGCTATGCGTAATTCAATCTGATCTAGAATTTGCATTTCAAACGTTCTTGCCCTGCTTATCTGAAAAAGACCGTGAGCGCCTATTTGCTGTTCACTGTTGTGCGATCCGAGCTGCCTGTGGTGCCCATTACTGTGCTGACGTGGACCCCCTTTACCACTCTCCTAAGCTATGTCCTCTGGACCACCGTTTCTTACAGTTGTTCATTAAATTTATCTTTCAGTGTAAAGTAGCTGACCCGGTTGCCAGTTTAGATTCTCTACTTTGTAGGCACAGTACACCTGGTTACACGACTCGCGGCTCTTCTGCAAATAATCTTTTGTTATGCCGATATAAGACTTCATGCGGGTATCGCTCATTGTCTAGTAGGATTGCTTTACTTTGGAATGCTCTGCCCTTTGAAATGAAGTCTTTCAATACGTCTCCTGCATTTAGCGCCCATCTTGCCTGCCTTCTTAATTACGGGCCACAATGTACCCGGTTAAAACAGCTCCTTTTTGAAAATGTCTTCAATGAGTGATGTGTCGCTTTGTTTTGCTCTAATTGGTGCTTTTCTCCAATGTCATGCAGTTGAATTTATTCAGCTTTATTTATTGTGTGCTTGCATACTGGTATTAGTTTAGTCCCACAACCTGCGAAAAAATGATCAGCTGTAGCACCTACTCCACCTTTATGTTTATGTGTCCATGTCATTCGGATCTTCTCAAGTTGTACATTTACTGTTCCGTCTGTTGAGATACCGAATTCAAATGAATCAATACCAATACCAATACCAACCCAAAGCGTATGCACGTGATCATTTGGGACCAAAATCGAAGTTCCCGCCAGGTTTCACTGTGAAAAAGTGAAACTGCTTGGTCTGCTCCAGCCTCGAGGCCGGAGCAAGCAGAACATGTTCTGGCCGACTCACAACAGGTGCAGTCCCAACCAAAAGCGCTGTTCTGGTGAATCCTCTGCTAGGTGTACCAAAAAAGAAAGCGCCCCAAGTCAACTACATTTCCTGGTGCACGGGCTGTTCCTGTATAACTGAGACACCGGGTAATAATTATGTTTGTGCGAATGGATATTGTTCTAATGTAAGGTCCCAAACTTCCCGAGAGCACGAGTATCGACGCCGAAGGGCGACGGACACCCCTCATCAGTTGAGCTTGAGGAGGCTGAGGAAGATTGTGCCCGAAGAGCATCACGTATATAGTGCTCTCCAGGCACAAACATCACCATGAATACAAACTTACAGAGACGCTCCGTTTCCAGCGCGACAAAATTAATACCCAATGAACACCAGATAGCAGCGTGAGTCAGTGTTGCTCCTGGACGGTGAGAGCAGACGTTGAGGACCATCGGTCATTCACATTCTGCCCGTATTTGATTTTTGTGATACAGCGTGGTGCGGTCTGTCTAACGCGCTTGTTCAAACTCTCGAAATACACCAGCATCTGCTTTTAATAATCCGGTTTCGCAAAGATCAAGCATTCTCCTCCCAACGGCTCTTTAAAGTTGCGTTTTGTATTGTTCTCCAATTCACGTATGGGATTTTGTTGTTGTTCTCGGCGTGCCAAAGTATCCGCGTGCATCATTCATGCGGAATTTACATTTTTCAAAGTATTCGTCTAGAGACTATGTAATAGACCTTTTTCACAACCTTGATGCAACTGCCTAGTGTTTCTTTGCAACAGAGCCTTCGGCCATATTTTCCAATTTACTGCCTTCCCAAGTCGTCACAACAAAGCGCTCTCAGCCGAACCACGAAGAATAAAGACGCCAGCACAGCAAGGACACTTCCATTGCCAGATACTATTTTCCACGTCTCCAGACAGCTGTTTCGTTCCCTGCCGGAGCTCATCAGTAGAGGATGATAATGATGATAGTGGAGTATAAAGAATGATGATTCTTATACAGAAGAAATGGCGCAATTGCGCGTTGTCCACATAGAAAACTAACAAATGCAAGCTGCTAAATGTAAAATGTCAGAACAGGGTGAAGAGTTATTGCACGCACTCATTGGTGGAAAAATACATCACACAGGCAACGCAAATCTTATGTGGAAATGGCCCTACAACTAATTGCAATAAAAGAGGAAATAATGATGCCACTGGAAAGTACATGTATGTTGTTTGTAGTGATATTAGTATAATGATGACTCACCTCCGAGATCCGCCAACGCGACATGCTCCGTTGCCGTTCAGGATTCACACCGACCTGTCCGCTGGTCAACACGATCGACAGCGGGAGCCCTCGCTGATGCCTAGATGTCGATGTGCACTACGAAACTTGTAGTCGCGAGTGCGATACTGGCAGGTCTAGCACTAGCAACCACTGACAAACGAGATCTCTTGTGTCTTTGGTGCTCTTCCTTCTTTCCATGTCGTATTGATTGAATAAACCCGTTTTGGTTCATCCAAGCCCATATAGGTCGCATGCCACCTGGGTTGGAAGAAAGTCAGCTCCTGTCTCTACCATATCGGGACCATCTGGGAAGACGCTATTATCGAGCTCCTCGCAGAAATCCACACGACTGTCCCAAGCCCCTTTTGACAGAGGTCCTTGTACATAGGCAGAGCCAATCCTCTAGCACGGAGTTGCTATTTGGTCAGGTCGTTGTTCACGTGCACATCTTGATCGTTCAGTTTGAAATCAAGACGTTTACGGTACACTGGCAGCTTGGCCTAGCAGCTTATGATGCGCAGCCTCACTGGTCTTGCGTTGTCCTAAACGCTTTTGCTATCGTACCCAATGCGCTCTGCAAAGAGTAGTTTGGTAAGCACTAATCCGGAGGAGCTGCTCACATCTCTACCAGTGTACATGTAACCAATTTCACTCTACGTATATATTATAACAAGGAACCGAGTGTATGTATCTATTATTGCACGATTAAAGAGGTCATAGAACGAGTAAAAGACCGAGGTCCCCAAACACCGATGTCGTAGTGTTTATGGGAATATAAACACTGCTATAAAAACCGAGGCGTAGCCGAGGTTTTTATAGACAGTGTTTATATTCCCATAAACACAAGACAGAGGTGTTTATTCTATTTATACCTAGCTTCGTTTTTGGCCTGAAATACTGGTCCGAAATAGCTATTTTAGTATCCCAGTATACTATTTTATACTATTATGTGTAGGTAGCATTGCGTGTTCCAGAGCTAAGACCTATCATTCAACCAACATCTGCATCAACACCCTGGTGGCTGGGTGGTCAAGATAGGTGCTTGGGAATCTTATGGTTGCAGGTTCGATTCCTGCTGAGACTTCTTTCTTCTCTTCAATTTTTTTCTTCCTCAATTGGAGAGAAAATTTCCAAGTCCCTTGAAAGTTGAAAAGTTACAACCTCTAAGTGGGTAATATAGCTAAGTATATACCCCAAGTTAAAGTGGTGAATATGGAGATATATTCACCAGTTATAGATCACAGGAATTAGTGGTGGTTAATTTAATATGAGCTGGGCATAACTCTCGATATACACGAGGTTCTTTTGATATAATAATTATATTTATACCTCTCCATATTCACCATTAGGTGTGACCACCTAATGGCTTGTTCCTCGCTGACAACTACTGCTAATTCCCCTTAGCGGTGTATATGGAGATATATACACCACTAAGGGAGAGCATGCCTAAGACTGTAAGTGTATATGGAGTGAGGTATAATTAAATTTATACCGCGACTAAGTACAGCGCTATGAATGCTACGAAATCAGCATCTGCTTTTTGCTCTCTCTCTCTCAGACTGCATGAATTCCAAGACCCATTTTGTGTCGAATCCGCGTTCATCTGAATAGGTATGCAAAGGCAAGCAGCGCTATCCCCCGCTACGGAGGTGGTCGAGGCCCGATATTGCTGGACAATTTAGAATGTACTGGGCAAGAAAGTGACTTGTTCCGATGTCAAGGCGGTCGAGTGGGCGTGCACAATTGCGAACATTCGGAAGATGCCGGTGTCGAATGCGGTAAGCTGTGGTAACATACCAGTCTCATATTATTATACTTCTAAATGTACTGTAAAACCGGAAAGTCTAAAGACCAAAAGGTTTAACGTTTTTGTAATTTTGGCATGATTACGTGCAGAAAGCTTAGCGATGGCTACGTGGCCATCCATCTATATTCGCATCTTTACACAGAAATTTAGCGATAACGTGTTTTCAAATAACAAAAAAGAAATTGGTCGTTAAAACGTTAGACTTTGTGACTCGTTAGACTTTCCGGTTTTATAGTATGTGGCATAGATTGAAACTCCGCAACACTTAACAACGGGAGTAGGGTGAATTGAGCTGAAACTCTGAGTTTCATGCCTATCCATCTGTCAATCCCCAGACTGCATAATGGTAGTGGTGGAAATGTCCTGGGGTTGTAGGAGGGTAGCGGTAAGAATCTCCATTGCAATTTTAGAATTGTAGCTTTTATTTTACGGTCCCTATTTCAGAGGCATTGTTGTCAGCCGACCCTTAGTGCCGGATTGGCTTACTGTAAATTTGTACCCCAGGAAAAGGGGATTCAGGGTAAATTTTGCAAGCCTATTATATTCCCTTACTTGTCTATCTTTTCTCAGATAACAGCAAGGTTCGAATTGTGGGTGGACCAAGTGAGATGAGGGGCCGCGTTGAGGTTCGACACAACGGCGTCTGGGGGACGGTTTGTGACGATTCCTGGGACATAAATGACGGTCATGTCGTCTGCCGTCAACTCGGGTGAGTTTTCTGGGTTTAATTGTAATCCGTGGACTGTTGTAAAGCGAATGAATTGTTGCGTTTTTTCAGCGGGCAATATGAAAGCATGATGAGGGGAAATTCCTCATGATCTAAACTATATGTTTGCAGCGAGGTGTAAGCTGCCCGGCCATTGACAGAAGCATTATAGATAAATAAGAACGTTTAAAAAAAATATATTCTCATTCTTATTTTATTAGGGATTTCCCAACACGCGTCATTGACTCTTTACAGAGAACCCTGAGAAAGTCTGGATGGATGATCGAAATGCAGCAGGTGAATTATACCGGCTGTAAGCAGGTGGCAATGCATTCCACCTGTCAGCGCCTACCTGAGAAATTGCACTGAAACCCTAGCGTGTACTAGAAGGGGTAGAATACGCTTGGCAGACATATAACCATGGGTAAGGGCAGCAGTGTGAGCACCATGAGCTCGAAGAGTAAATCGGTCTTGTAGGAGGGAGCAAGTAAGGTTATTCAGGCAGCGAGACACAAATACATAGGTCTTGAAATTGAGGCGTTGTTCAAGGGTGTATACATTGGTATGACCGTAGAGAGGGGCAGTTGGGGTCATTCTATCCTAGGAAAATTTAATATTTAGCCAGACTGTTGTTATATGGAGCTTGCGACAAACCGTGTATATACTGATGCTGTGCTGCCACACTCAAGAGTAGACTGAATTACAGATACAATAATTATAGAACAGTCGCTTGCCAAAGTTATTGATAATTATTCTGTTGCTAATATTCTTTAATAGCAAGCGGAAGCAGAGGGGTCAATGGGGTGTCATGACAGAGAACTGCTGAATCAGGTGGCAGCTTTTTATCAGGGCGGCGAAGTATTAAAACTGTCCTAGATGGATTCAATGAAAGTCTTTTTCGTTCAATTTAGCCATCAAGCCATCGAGAGCAACCACGTCTTCACTCAGTCGAGTAGTGCATGTTTGACAGAAATGGCTACGGATATGGAAGGTTATATTATCATGTGCGAAGATTTTATGAATGCCTGAAGCATTGTGGTGTATCGCGCATGCATATATAGAAGAACTTCTTACAAGTGTAGGTGCTGGGTCAGCGACGACATCCGTTGTCCGGAGATGATGTGGAGTTGCCGAGAGTGACTGTTGTTGTTGTTGATTACTTGACAACCTGATGGGACAAATTGCTTGAAAAATCCACCGATTACAGTTCTACTGTAAGTGTTGAAGTTCAAAATATCACATTACGGTAGCGGCCCTACTACTTGCGGGCGACGGATCTCCTTTTGGCGGAGTTCCTTGTACCTAGGTAGAGCCTGTCGTCTGGCAATCTGCTGTTTCTTGATCAGGTCGTTGTTCACATACACACGTTGATCGTTCAATCTGGAGGAGCTGCTCGCATCTCCACCAGTGTGTATGACACTAATTTCACTCTACTTCAGTTTTATTCCGGGAATAGGAACAGCGCTGTGAATGATACGAATGCGGCATCTCTTGTTACTCTCTCTCTCTGTCTCTATGTCTCTCTCTTTCTCAGTCTGCATGAATTCCAAGACCAGCTTTGTGTTGAATCGGCGTTAATCTGAATAGGTATGCAAAGGCAAGCAGCGCTATCCAGTCCTACGGAGGTGGTCGGGGCCCTATATTGCTGGACGATTTAAAATGTACTGGGCAAGAAAGTAACTTGTTCAGATGTCGAGGCGGTCGAGTGGGCGTGCACAATTGCAGACATTCGGAAGATGCCGGTGTTGAATGCGGTAAGCAAACATTCCCATAAACTATCTGTACATTTATATGGCATTGCATTTAAAATCCACAACGGTTAGCAATGTAACTAGGCTGAAATATGCTGAATCTCATGGCTATCCGTAAATGCTCAGAATACATGATGGTACTGATGGAAATGTCCTGGGGTATAGGAGGGTAGAGATAAGAACCACCATGGCAACTTTAGAATTGTAGCTTTTATTTTTGGTCCGTATTTCATAGACTTGGTTGTGAGTCGACCCTAAGACTGGCTTACTGTAATTTTGTATCCCAAGGAAATTGAATTCAGGGTGAACCATGCAAGCCTCTCTCTTTCGGCTACTTTTATATGATTTTCCAGACCCTAGCAGCGCTCGAATTGTGGGTGGACCAAGTGAGATGAGAGGCCGCGTTGAGGTTCGACACAACGGCGTCTGGGGGACGGTTTGTGACGATTCCTGGGACATAAATGACGGTCATGTCGTCTGCCGTCAACTCGGGTGAGTTTTCTGGGGTTAATTGTAAATCCGTAGACTGTTGTAAAGCGAATGAATTGTTGCGTTTTTTCAGCGGGCAATATGAAAGCATGATGAGGGGAAATTCCTCATGAACAAAAAATATATTTTCAGCGAGGTTGAATCTGCCGGCCATTTCATAAAAATAAAAATAATAAATTTGACGGGTTCGCGTACCGGGCAGGTCAAGAACAAGGAGTCGTACAACTCCCTGGTCAAGAACCATCTTGTCGTTTCCGTAGCACGCCACCACCCCATGATCAGGCGTCAGATGCGGCTCCTAAACGGTGGGGGAGGATAGATCAGATCCACCAACCAGTGGCCAAAGGCCTCAATCCCATTTTCCACATCCATGTTTTACTCATGCCAGGCCACGGCCATTTCATAGAAGCATATATATGAAAATTTACTCGCATAATAAGCCAGTGTGATATGTAAGTTAGAAGAAGCAAATATATGGAAACTAGTTATGAAACAACTATCTACGAATATGACAAGATAATAAGCGGTCAGTACGTGCGATAACAGGGCACAAAACTGACACGCTACTGAGACATTCAGCGACGTAAGACCTAGCTGTAAAACAGTGGGTCCAATGTTATTAGGCATTTTGCCTGTTTTGATTTCCACTATAAATAAAGTATACAACAACAACAACAAATCTTCCAGGCGCAAACCAACAGCCTTCCAACTTGGAACGTGCCAAGTTGGGTAGGACCAAAGATGGGAATGTGATCGCAGCGGAAATGTGCACCAATGTCTCAGCAGCCTGTCAGTTTTGTGCCCTGTTATCGAATGTACTGACAGTTTATTACCTTGTTTCGTTCATGGAAGGTTGCTTCATAACTCGTTTTTATGTATTTGTTTCTTCTTTTTTTAATAAATGGAAAACATGTTTTTATATATTCAGATTCTTATTTTACTAGGGAATTCCCAATAGGCCTAATTGACTTTTTACATGGAACCCTAAGAAAGTCTCGATGGATGGTCGAAATGCAGCAGGCGTAATAATTATTTGGACAGGCGATAAGCAGGTGGCAGTGCATCTCACCTGTCAGCACCTACCCAAGAAATTGGCCTGAACCCTAAGCGTGTGCTAGCAGGAGGTAAACAAGGTTGGCAGACACCTGACCACGGGTAAAGGCAGCAGTGTGAGCACCATGAGCAGGAAAAGTATAGCGGTCTTGTAGGAGTGAGCAGGCAAGGCCATTCAGGCAGCGATACACAAAAACATAGGTCTTGATATTGAGGCGTTGTTCAAGAGTGTATACATTGGTGTGCATGTAGAGATGGGCAGTTGGGTCATTCCACTAAGAGAGCATGTCTGAGAAAACCAGAACATATGTGCAAGTCGATCTCTCAGATTTCGCTCAAATTTTGCAGGTAGGTTTGCTTTGGGGTGTAGATCGACATTCCAAAGCCCGCACAAAATCTTTTGAAGGGAACCATGAAATTGGCATACCCCTCAATAGTGGCCCAATATTGGCACGATTTATGGGTCTACAAACGAGCTACGGCACACCGTACAAGAACAAGCTACGAGCAAAACTCCATCGAGTCAACATTACCTCACCTTAGAAGAGTTCTTGGGGCAGCACCACTTAGCCACGCCAGCATCCCAGAAGACGAGGGCAATCATCCCTTGACGCCACAAATGATCGTCTTGAAAATAGCCAAATTACAAGCGCTGATAAAACTGCGAGCTACGTCCTCAATTAGCAAACACTATACACCGGCAGATAGTAGAACACCTCTTCTAGCACTGAGGACATGTCCCCTTCATCCTTTTTGGGTTTTCTTGAAATAAACAATTTTGAATTTTTCCACTCGACCATTCTGAAATACGTCCCAACTCATACCTGCGCAGGAAAGCTCGCCCCTCCGCTACGTCAAGTCAGCAATTTCTACTCCAACACCACTCCCAATGCTGCAGAACAAAGTTTATTGTTGACTCTGACAAGGAAAAGCAGCGGTGATCACTTGTCACTCCAAACGACAAGCTTCTCCTTGCGCCACCAAAATGTTTCGGTGCAACAGTTGATGCAAAAGTGACTGAATTTTGGCGTGTAGTTTTTGGATTTTACTGCAAGAGGAATGAAGAAATCACGTGCATCGTGACGTAGGATAATGCTTTCTGGTGCACGACACAATGCACATGATCACGATCGTTCCCGAGGCGCTATTCGAAACGGACCATGAGGCAGGAGGTAAGATGCATTATATTTCTTGCATGCTCTGCTCAGAACATTCAGAAACTATCGTTATAGCACTAGCAGTATTGCATTGGCAAGAATTCTTTGAGATATTTCCTCTTGCAGTATGAACAGGGATGCATTTTTTCGCACTAACCTCGCTCATCCTGAACATGGTTCAACAGGAACTACGGCTAGTTTACATGCTGATGATCCACGTAGATCTGCAACAGCAAGGAATGACCGTTGTCCATGCCATCAAAGTCGCTTGGAGTAGACCAGCGCGCGGCCTATACACTGGTTGCATGGGGTATATGGCGCGCCCACATGGCAGATTTCGTACGTCATGAACAACGTGATTTGACCCTACTCGCCCTAGTCTGTGTGCTGCATGTTGAGGGAAAGTCCCGGCTGGAAGGCCTATAACACGACATGCGTGCTCTTGAGCTTGAGATCAAGATGCACTTGATCCGATCTAGATCAACGGGTGATCCATGTAAGTGCAGGTGCGCTTGATCAAGGTGACTCAGAACAACTGCTGAACCGTGATCTACGAGACCTGGCATTCTTGTGTCACGAAGCACGTGATTTCACCATTCCTCTTGCAGTAAAATCCAAAAACTACACGCCAAAATTCAGTCACTTTTGCATCAACTGTTGCACCGAAAAATGTTGGTGGCGCAAGGAGAAGCTTGTCGTTTGGAGTGACAAGTGATCACCGCTGCTTTTCCTTGTCAGAGTCAACAAAACACTTTGTTCTGCAGCGTTGGGAGTTGAATTGGAGTATAAATTGCTGACTAGACGTCGCGGAGGGGCGAGCTTTCCTGCGCAGGTATGAGTTGGGACGTATTTCAGAATGGTCGAGTGGAAAAATTCAAAATTGTTTATTTCAAGGAAACCCAAAAAGGATGATGGGGGACATGTCCTCAGTGCTAGAAGAGGTGTTCTACTATCTGCCGGTGTATAGTGTTTGCTAATTGAGGACGTAGCTCGCTGTTTTATAAGCGCTTGTAATTTGGCTATTTTCAAGACGATCATTTGTGGCGTCAAGGGATGATTGCCCTCGTCTTCTGGGATGCTGGCGTGGCTAAGTGGTGCTGCCCCAAGAACTCTTCTAAGGTGAGGTAATGTTGGCTTGATGGAGTTTTGTTCGTAGATTGTTCTTGTACGCTGTGCCGTAGCTCGTTTGTAGACCCATAAATCGTGCCAATTTTGGGCCAATATTGAGGGGTATGCCAATGTCATGGTTCCCTTCAAAGGATTTTGCGCGGGCTTTGGAATGTCGATCTACACCCCAAAGCAAACCTACCTGCAAAATTTGAGCGAAATCTGGGAGATCGACTTGCACATAATCATGTTCTGGTTTTCTCAGACAGCCTCTCTTAACCCTTTGGTGTCCATGGTTAGATTTCGAACCATGGGTATTTGGTATGCATGTGGGCGCATTCAAACTTTCCGTTCTCGCCCGTATCTTGACAAAATTCAACAATTGAAGGGTCTAGGTGGTAGAGAAAGCTCTCAGCTATCGCCTCGAACAGGTCCCATGGTTCTCCGATGAAATTTGAATTTTCTTCGCTGCGTGCTGCGAGTCAGGAGTGCGGGAAAAGGGGGATTTTCCCAGCTTCACGACAGGCGGCACATGCCAGGACCGGCGCGGTGCGAAGTCATGGCAAGTTAAGCTGAAAAAAGTTGAACAATTCCGACCCAGAATCAGTGAAATGGCTGCAGGAAACAGATTTCGCCTCAGATCTGGAGCTGGACTCGCGTTAGGAGCACGTTATGGCGGCCAATGTTATTATTATTATTATAGGCTTTTCCGCGTTGGCATCGCCAAGCAAGCTTGGCTAGCCTTCGCATAAGCTGCTCCATAATGATGAGACGAAACAATGAATGTATGTATACACGATCTAGGACAGAACCAAGGTTGAGGATATGTTTGAAGAAAGCTGCAAGTTGTGTTGAGGAACACAAAGTTGCAAACTCTACGAAAGTAAACTGCAAGAAATGTTTTGGGGTTGATCTCATGATTATTGTAGTCACTGGCGGACAATGAGTAGTGCTTAAGAGGAAAAAGTTCACTATAGCTCAAAACTGCTGGCAGCAAGAAGTTTGTTAGAAAGAGCTTGCAACAAACAGTGTATATATGCAGTGCTACTGTACGCAAGAGTAAACAGTTTCCTCTGAGACAAAAATGCGATAATACTCCTAAAAAGGACACACTTCAGGCTCTTTACGAACATCTTGAAAGTTTTTGATTTCACAAGTATACTTTCATCACTTAATCCACTGTTCCTGTTCCTTTTCCTTTGCCTGTATTTTACCTGATGAGAAGGCTGGAAGTATACTTGTGAAACCAAAAACTTTCTCTGCGCAAAAAAAGAACCGAGATCTCGTGGTACATAACAAGACGTGGAGATAAACAGTGAAAAAAGTCACAGAGGAAGTAGAGAAAACACACACACAACGCACGGATCTCACAAAAGTGTTATACTAATATGCACAACAGTTATCACGTTTAAACACACGGCGAGGAGACGATAATTTGATAACCGCAATCAATAAAACTAGCTGAACCGACATTTGTGTACTTTATTCATGCAATGTAAAAACGGTGGAGACGATGTGCAATAAAACGATGAAAATATGAAGATATGGTGTAGGGAAAAAAATATGCATTCAAACAAGTTTTCGTACAACACTCATCAGGAATCGTCGTTGTACTAAAGGACACTGAAACAAAAATTGAACTATTATAGAAAATCTAAGTTAGAGAAATAACACTAAGAGCAACAACAGTGAAATTTACAAGTGTGAATTTTAACAATCAAAGCGAGAAATGAACAAAGGAGAAAGGAAGGAAAGACAACGTGATAACACATAACAGCAGTACATTACACGTAGAACATTAACGGCCAAGCTTGGCCGCACTAAACACGACACGTTACTTGAACAATTTCAACCCAATTATACTATCTTTCTGTACACACAAATTAGGCTTATACAGACGCTGATAGATAGCTTCCAACACCTTTAACTGTAGTCCATAACCATGACGACCACGGCACAATACAGTGAACGAAGAGTCGGAACACGAATTGCAACAATCAGGACTAGCTAGCAGATGATTGTACACTGAAGACTTGCTACCACGAAACCTACGCACAACACTAACACTCTCACCGGCATTCTCACCATCACTCCCATCACTGCTCTAATACAGCCTAGTTACACTTTTGCTAAACATCCAAAAATTAGAGCGTGGCTCACCATGATCGGACCTCTAACGTGGTAATGTTTTACGAGCACACACGCGCGCACACACACTACCAAAAAAATTCACGAAAATAAATTTGACGAAGAAGCATACAAAAAAAGGATGAGAGAAAGGTAGCTGACCTGCGCTGCATGGCTTGAACGAGACGATGTTGACATAGACGAGACGAGGTTGGCGTAGGAGAGACGAGGTTGATAGAGACGAGACGAGGTTGGCGTAGGAGAGACGAGACTGACATGGACGAGACGAGGTTGACATAGACGAGACGAATGGCGGTTGAGGACGGCTGGGCATGGGATGATCTCAGGGTCGTGGGTCGATCAATAATCGGGCGCCAATGTTGAATACGAAAAAGGACGACTGACGACACATTATCCAGACATTACAATGGGAACAGGTAGGTTGGTGGAACGACATTTATTAGAGACGGGACAACAGACTACATGGTGATTATTGAAGAGAGAACGAAACGTCGACATGGTGATTATTGAAGAGTGAGAACAGAGAGCAAGTCTGAACGGCAAGATAAAGGGTCTGGGTAGCTAGGGCAAATATGGGCGCGCAAGTAGCTACCCGGGCCAACGGAACAAAAGGAGACAAAAGGTGAGTACGCAAGTGCATGCAGGCCAGCTAGAAAAGGTACGGGAGGAGATACCTGACAATATATTCCGCCCACGCAACCAAGGATACCTTCGAGTTCGTGGATGATGCAAGGGAATTTGGTCAGCAGCAGGCAGAGAACTCTGGATCGCTGTTCCTGTGCACTTTCGATGTAGCCAGCCTCTTTACAAACGTGCCTCGCAAGAAAACAATAGATATCTGCATACAGTCGCTATACCATGATGATGAAATATCAGCCCCGCAAATACCCCAAGATCTTTTCAAGAAGCTGCTTTTCAAAGCCACACCAGACGTGCAGTTCAGTTTCAATGGCAATAATATTATGTACGCACAGAGGGACGGAGTAGCCATAGGTTCATCCTTGGGCCGCGTGCTAGCCAATATCTTTGTTGGATATTTTGAGAACACAATTCTAGACAGTCATTAGCCCCAATTCTATAGGCGTTATGTGGATGACACATTCGTAGCATTTCACAACCGGAAACTGGCATTGGAATTCTCTGAGCGTTTAAATAATCTTCACCCAGCTCTCCAGTTTACAATGGAGGAGAATAATAATGGAGAATTGCCGTTTCTTGATGTATTGATTAAGCATTCTTCCACAGAATTGCTCACCACAGTATATAGAAAGCCGATGTTCACAGGTCTTTACACCCGCTGGGACTCGTTTTGTGACACAAGAAACAAAATTAATTTGATCAGATCATTAACTTTCAGAGCTAAAAACATCTGCTCACCATCACTATTATCAGCTGAAATTGCTAAGCTAGAGGATATTCTGTGTTCTAACGGTTACCCACTCAAAGTACGTAAGCGAGTCATGACAAGCGCTCTTGAACCTAGCCCAGATATAGCTTCTGCTGCACAACTTGAATCTGCAGCGCGTATTATCACAAAATTGCCGTGGAAAGGGCAAAATTGCATTGCCTTCCGCAAAAAGATTACAGCTGCATTTTTGAACTGCTATCCTACAGTATCTCCCATTGTAATTTATACAACCACGCCCGCATTCAGGTCTATCGCGAAGAATGTTTCATCAACTCTTGAAAATAGTAATTTTATTTATAAGTATGCGTGTCGCTGTGAGCAGACGTACGTTGGTGAGACATGTCAGCGATTCTCGGAAAGGATCAAGCAGCATATCCAAGACAAGCTGTACAAGAAGCCGCCTGACAAACGTGTGGCAACAAGTGATAGCGCCATCACAAAGCATTTGCAGGCTTAGCCTGAATGCATCCCGCAGGAACTCAACAGCAGCCTCAGTGTCATCACACAAGCCCGGAACAGCGCGCACCGATTACCACTGGAAGCGCTGTACATTCTCAGTTTGAGGCCAGAACTGTGTCGACAAAAGAAACACATCAAGGTGCTGAGGCTGTTCAAGCTGCAACCGGACTCACAACTTTATCACGTGTTTGTTCTGGTACTGCATTCCCCTCACGTGTTGTTTCCCCCATTTTTCCACTGCTCCATACGTTCTTATGGTAGTGTAGTGTGAACTTGAGGCACGTAAGAATATTCTTGCTGATTCTCTACCCCCAGTATAAATTCTGGCTTCGTTTTCGTTCTTGCTCATTCCCATGTAACTACTGATGAAAATGGGTGAAAAGCTTTTAGTATTATGAAACTGACAACCTTGTTGTTGTGTGTATATAATTATATTTTGTACGAGAGGGATACAGAGCAGTCATTGTCATTTTTGTCGGTATGAGGGTAAGGTCTAGGCATGACTGACTAGGAACAGTGGTGGGCTGTAGGACGAGGTTTTGTAACCTGGGGTCAACTCAGAGAAGGTGTAAATAGCGGGTGTTGGGGTGAGGTAGGCAATCGAGCATGTTGACACTATAGTCACCGAGGAGGAAGATGTCCGGATATGTTGCGGCCATCTGCAGGGCCATCTTCGCCCCTTACATCGAGCTCCTCTCAGACCACTACATGGCTGTCGAGACCGCAGTGGACGCAGTAAACGGTAAGAAATGGGTCGTTCAGCTTTAGTTGTGCAACCCAACGAATATGGTCTCCAGTCTGTCGTCTATTTGAAGTTGCCTGGATTTCAGTTGCTCCTACACATACATGTACATAGCAACGCCACCAGCCTCTCCCTGCGTATTTCGGTCCCGGCGATAAAGAGCGTAGGCGAGTATAGCAAAGTCGCAAATAATCACAGTGCAGACCAAGCATATTATTATTTTCACTGATTGCTAGCACATCAACTCTGTACTTAGCACGCTAGAGCTTGCGGTAATGTCGGTTAACACATTGCACAAGCCATTACTTGAAACGCGCTCCAGCCGCTTTCATAGAGCCGGTAGAACGCACGCTATTCATTGATGCATGTCAAAATGCATAGACACTAAACCGGAATTCACCTGAACTCGCCTGCCAGCAATACAATCATGTATGCGGCTGCAGCACACATCAGAGGTGTACCCGTAATGCATGCACCGTACTTAGCACTAGCCGGTTTGCTACTTTACATTTGCCTTGATTGGGTTGTGGGAAGAACACAAGCTTGCTCCTTTCTCACTCACCCCCATCACCTCTTTTATGAATGATAATGATCTCCTTGATTCAACACAGATATCATAATTCATACCAGACGAAAATAAATAGGAAGGCTGGGCCAGCTACCTCCTCTCATCTGGCAATCTATAACGGACTACGGCCATCACACTCACACCCACACTCAAGCCCCTTAATGGGCATCGCCCTCCGTGTATGAACCGTCCACACTCCGTCCATTTCATGGGCTGTACCTTGTGCACTGACTATCATACATACTATCATATGAGCCGCACACACTAATCTGGAGGAGCTGCTCACATCTCCACCAGTGTACATGTAATAAATTTCACTCTACTTCAATTTAATACCGGGAATAAGTACAGCGTTATGAATGCCACGAATCCAGCATTTGTTGTCACTCTCTTTCTTTCAGTCTGAATGATTTCCAATAACAACTTTGTGTTGAACCGGCGTTCATCTGATTAGGTATGCAAAGGCAACCCGCGTTATCCAGCGCTACGGAGGTGGTCGGGGCCCTATATTGCTGGACAATTTAGAATGTACTGGGCAAGAAAGTGACTTGTTCGGATGTCAAGGCAATCGAGTGGGCATGCACAATTGCGGACATTTGGAAGATGCCGGTGTTGAATGCGGTAAGATGTAGTAAAAACCATCTCTTAATAATGACTTCTAGAAACAATAGGAGGACAGAGAACGTGTTTTTACTCCGAGTTTCACGCACTAAGCGATCATCAGAAAACAGCACTGAAAAATCTGGATCAGTATTGGTTTATAATTATACTCACAAGGCCAAATGATAATAGCTGCAGCATGGCGCAAATCTAAAAGTTGTGAATGGTGGCAGTGTAAAGCGTAAAAAACTGCATCATGAGGCAAATCCAAAAGTATACGTGTGAATGACAGCAGTGGTGAAAGGTGACAACCACTGGAGCCGGTTGTCTCTTACTTAATTAGGTGATGGCTGTGGATGGTTTGAAGTTCCAAAGGTAGTAGTTTTAAATTACTTCTTCATGTATAGGGCATTGCATTGAAAATCCACAAAGGTTAGCAATGTAACTAGGTTTAATTGTGATGAACCCCTTAGTTTTATGACTATCCGTCAATGCTCAGACCACATGACGGGAATGTTGAAAATGTCCTGGGGTTATAGGAGGGTAGCAATAGTAATTTTCACGGAAATTTTAGAATTTCAGCTTTTATTTTTCGGCCCCTGTTTCATAGACATGGCTGTAAGTCGACCCTTAGTCGTTGACTGGCTTACTGTAATTTGTAGCTGAGAAAAAGAGAATTCAGCGTGAATTATGCAAGCCTATCTCCTTCCGCTACTTGTCAATATTTTTCAGACCTTAGCCGCGTTCGACTTGTGGGTGGACCAAGCGAGATGAAAGGCCGCGTTGAGGTTCTACACGACGGTGTCTGGGGGACGGTTTGTGACGATTCCTGGGACTTAAATGCCGGTACTGTCGTCTGTCGTCAACTCGGGTTAGTGTTCTCGGTTTTTAAAATTGTAATCCGTCCACTGTTGTAAAGTGAATGAATTTGCGTTGCGTCATTTAATCGGGCAATATGAAAGCATGATGAGCGGAAATTCTTTATAATCAAAGAGCTTTCGGCCACGAGGTTCAATCTGCCTGGCCATAGGAGAGAAACATAGATAAATGCAAACGCTAAATGAGAAGAGCATCGATTTTTCAAGTATGGTCGAGAAAAAAGACTATTATCTTTGATATCGGTTCGAATGGCATATATCTCACTTGCAAACGATGAGCCAAATTTGCCAACTCGCCAATTTTATGCTCACGTTGCCATAGGGACCAGAGCAGTGATGACGTCCGTTCTGTTAGTACCGTGAGAGAGATTGTCGATCATTACAGCATTTGATCGTTTTCAATTATCGTATTGTATGCACGATCTGAAAAGGTGCTGTATTCAATGTTGTTAGTTCCGTGAACTGTTTATAGGCCGTCTCCTTCATTTCCCTAGGCTAGCTGAAGCCTAGGAAATGGTTCTTGTCGGTGAAGATGGTAGGTATTAGCCATCACTTCAGAGACATTTTCAGCAAACTCTCAAAACTAACGACTTGACGTTATCTCATCTTTCAATCTCCACCACCCATCGTCTTACCTGGCTTCAGAAGATGTTACGGGAGATATTTTAGTATTTTTGTCGTGAACTATATACGCTTGTCTGCTGATGTCACCACAATCCACCTTTCTCCTATCGGGGTCCCGTCCCAGTACACAACCGAGCTGACTACTGACACACAGCTCACTGCAATAACGTTATTACCGTAAAGTACCGCGAGAGCGCCCCGTCTCGCGAGAGTGCCCCACCTTGATTTCACATCCAGAGGAAGGAAGATCGTATGGTAGAGTGCAATAGAAGGTTGTACGATGCGAGAATCTTAGTGTACTAAGGTCACACTTGGCAGGTTTTTGTGTGGAGCTTGTGTCCGCTCGAAGGTACGGATTGACTGCAAAATGGGCAATATGTGTACAAGCTTCATGTCGAATAACCTACAGACAGCAGACCACCTCCACAATACGACCACGAAAGGATGAGATGGTGGGGCGCTCTGGGGGTACTTTACGGTACAATAAACCAATTGAAACTGATCAAATACTGCAATGATCGACCCTCTCTCACGGGGGCTAAGCAGAACATAAGTCATCACTGTGCTGCTCGCTATGTCAGCTTGAGCATACAATTTGCGATTAGCCAAGTTTTAGCTTATCGTATGCAAGCGAGGGATATGCAATTCGAACAGAGATCAAGTTTGCCTTTCATCTGAACCCTACTTGAAAATCGATCCAATTTCACTTCACGATCCATGCCATACTCCCTTTCGCTATCTCTCAAGCAAGTTCAATAGCACCCAGTGTTAGCATTTCTTTCTGTTAGATTCCATTCCTCAATCGCTTATTCAAAGTAGAGACAGGCAAGCATAGTCGGATGGTCTAGAACCATGATTGAGAAACAGAAGGGACAAGGGTCAAATCCTTCTTGGGCGAGGAAGGATTTTTAATTGAGAACTCGTGGCCTGGCAGGAGGGAATCATGGATGCAGAGAATGGGATTCCCGGTCTACTTTCTGCTGGGTTGGATCTACTCACTTCCAACCACTTTAGGAGCTTTATATTGATCCAAAACAGGTCTTGGCGTTACTGCGGATGCAGAATACTCGGTCTCCAGACACGTCTCACGCGAACCATGATCTCCTTTAAACACACTGGAGAAGGTCAGATGAAACAGACACGCCAGCCGACATCAGTGACCGTCCTGTCGTCTAAGTTAATAATCATATCAAGGCAATTTCATTTCTCTCCGAAACTCAACACTTGCAGAAAGAAACAAAATCATCAGTCCCACCACTGGGACTGGAACCCGGGACTTTGCTATTCGGGAGCTCATTTTGTCTTTCTTTCGTATCTGGATTGCATGCGTTGGGTTTTGGAGAGGAAAGAGCAACACGAGGCGGGCGACCTCATTTCGTAATATTTGAAATTCTCCGTGAAGTCCAAGGTAATCCCCTCTGCTGCCGAACCCTGGAGAGATATATGACTGCTGACGAATGAACCCTGACAATGAACAACAATTTCAAATTGAACTCGGTTGAGCTGTTCGTTTGCTCATGACGCCATCAATATCCTGTTTGGCTGTTTTTGGTTCAGCAGATGGGAAACCAATACATGCTTTGTATATGTAAATTGCATTAAGCCGAAGCGGAGAAGCTCTTGACGATCTGCATGAAGGGCGAGACTAGGCTGAAGCTGGTAGCAAATCACAGTTGTAAAACATTTCACCCCACAGTGTGTCGCATGATAGAATAAGTGTAGAACTTACTACTAGTAGTATGTTATGGCATGTATGTTGTCTTCATTGCATTCAGAATGTTGAATATGGTCAGTTGCTCTTCAAGAAAAATGTATCTCCCTTTGTGACTGTAGGTTTTCGACAGCTATTTTGGCCATTCAGCGATTCGGCGGCGGCAAAGGCCGGATTTTACTGGACAATTTGCGTTGCAATGGGCTTGAAAGCAACCTCTTCCAGTGTTCTAGGAATCCGGTAGGAGACCATGACTGTAGCCACAGTGAGGATGCTGGCGTGCAATGTGGTAAGAATTGTGAATGCCATTGACGAAAATGCTCTTAGTGCAACTCCTTGGTCCTTATCAAACTACGCATGAATGAAAGTCAATAATGGAGTGCTTAAGCTAATCTGCTGGGTTATTGTTGTCAGCCTGGTTTTCGTTTAGATTGGCGACAGATAAAGTATCCGAGTATAGTGTAGCATGAAATGAACGTCAAATTAGACACGAGTTAGGCTTTCACGAAACTTGTTATAGTTGTGATATTGAGCCCCTTTTTCGCAATCAGATGGTTTCTGTCTCCGTAAATTCAATTGATTTCTGGGTACTTTTAAGCTTGTAATCGGGCAATAAGCACCAAAAACGTGTTGCAATATGATGAGTGTGAATTCCGTTGAAATCTTCAATAGGTCGTTTGCAAAGGTGGCCGATATCTTTATTTGCATTAATGGATTCTCCACAGGGTATAAGTCTCTCGGAAGAGAGTCAAAGAATACGAGAGCAATTTTCATCTTTAATGCAAAAAAAGTAGTTTGACTTATTTTACCCTCTCCGTTGTTGCTTGTTCTGAAATTATGCAGTACGATGAGGACATGATCTGGCGCCGGGGCAGTACCGGCCCCAGGGGAAATTCAGCTGTTGGAAGCGGGTGCACGGATGTATGTGAATTGACCCTGTTGATGCGAAGGGTCTGATTTGCTACTCCATCAAACCAATACACCAGTTTATTGACCCAGTTTGATTACTGGACCTGCTGAAGTACCCCATCAGCTTCTGCTTCTCTGATGCACTCTTTAAGCTCCACATACTCTTTTCTTTTGGGTTTTACTTCGCAGACATGTACGATATTTGAAATGCATAACCCAGCATAGCATTATAGCCACCATTATTTACTGCGATACAAACTTACACTTGGTCTCCGTAACAATACCACAGCCGATTGCATATGTAAAATGTCTAACTTAGAGCCCTCATTGTAACCGTTTGAAGGTATTCTTGGAAAAGACAATGCTTGCTCAAGGCAACACAACTGATATAGGGCACGAGGGCACTTCGTGCCCTAAGGTGATAACGCGCGTGCTGACAGGATAGGGAAAGGTGCAAGATACAGAGCTAGAGGGCAGATAAGGTTAGCGCTAACAGGGAACTGTTACACCATCCCTCCCTCCTAAGCGAGGCACAGGTGCCTCCAGGGAGTCGAGGAATATGTGGAAAGGGAATAATCAAAATGAAATCGTGTCAACCCAACAACGCTCATCTAATTGAAGCACCGTGCAAGGTAACCAAGGACAGTCAGGCGAGTGAAGATAACGGAAATGGGGAAAATCTAAAACAGGAGGGGAATGGATTGCTTAACACAACAAGGATTAAGTGGGAATTCTCAAGGTACACGTGCGATTGAATTTGAGCGAGTAACATTTCGCGGTAACCATAGTGTCACTAACATGCCCTGGACGCCCTGTAACGCCTCAGAGCAACTATCGGCCTACCGGCCTCGTCCAGCAAGTTCTCTTCTGGCTCCCAGGTGGCTTCGTCGTCTGGGTACCCTTGCCACTTGACAAGGTACTGAGTCTGATGCCTTCGCTGGCGATCGTCAAGAATCTTCTCCACCATGTATCTGGTCTGACCGTGCAAGTCGGTGAACGGTGGCGGGGGTGGCTGCCGCCTGCCGGGAATAGTATTCTGCTCATACCGGCGCAGAGCAGTGACATTGAAGACAGGGTGGCACCGAATAGCGCTGGGTAGATCCAGCTGATAGGCGTTGGGTCCGATCTTCTTGATGATTGGGTAGGGCCCGAACCACTTAGGGCGTAGCTTCTGTGAAGGCTGATCCCGGGCTTCTGCGGTTGTTAGAAAATCCTTGTACACCAGCACCATGTCGCCAACCTTCAGGTTGCTGGGCACCCTTCCCCTGTCTGCATACTGAGCTTGTCTAGCCTGAGCGGCAATCATGGCGTCCTTTGCCAACTTGACGGCATCCGCCCGATCCTGGATCCAGTCTGGGGCACTCCCTCCTCCCCTCCGTGCCAGGAAATCTGGTGGGGACTTGGGATTAAGTCCATAATTTAGATAAAACGGCGTGCTAGAAGTGGAAGACTGATATGAACTATTAATTGCAAATTCGCAAAGAGGCAGAAGCTTGTCCCAATTATCTTGTTTGTGGTTAACAAACGCTCTAAGCACATCCTCAATTACTCTATTCATTCTCTCAGTCTGCCCATCGGTCTGTGGGTGATTGGCAGTACTAAACGACAAGGTGGTACCTAATTGATGAAACAATTCCCGGAAAAATTCAGAAGTAAATCTCGGGTCCCGATCACAAACAATAGTGGAACTCAAACCGTGTAATCTAAACACATTCTGGAGATACAAATCAGCAGAACCCTTAGCGTCAATTTTGGAAGTCGTGGGGACTAAATGGACACATTTTGTAAGCCGGTCAACAAATGTATAAATTGCATCAAAGCCCTGAGGGGTCTGGGGTAAGCCAACGATAAAGTCCATGGAAATATCTTTCCAGGGGGTGTCTGGTACTGGGAGCGATTGCAGCAAACCGGATCTAGGCAACCCACCCTTAGTGCGCTGACATATGCCGCAAGACTTAACAAATTTCTTCACGTCAAGACCCATCTTGGGCCAATAGAAGAATTGACGAAGCCGGAAATATGTACGATCCCGTCCCTGATGGCCTGCCGTAACACAGTCGTGGTACTCCTGCAGGAGCTGAAGCCTTATTGCACACTTGGGTACACACAAGCGATTGTTTGGTGCTGCACGGAGGTATAGGTACCTGGACTCTTCATCCCAATAGTACCGCTCGTGTAGATTATCAGAGGAATCGCCGCGCAGCCGCTGAATTATTGGGGAAAGCTGCTCGTCATTCTGATATGCTTCCGAAATCATCTCAGCAACCCTATCACTCAGTTCCAAAGCAAACTCAATCGTATTCAAATGGGGTGCTGGTAGGATGGATGGGCAATCCTTTTCCTCAACTACATTGCCAATTGCTGACCCGCGCAGATCAGGGCGGCGGGATAACGCATCAGCCATATTTTCCTTGCCGGGTTTGTGATTAACTGTGAAGTCATAGTCTGCAAGAAATTCAACCCATCTAGCTTCGCGCTTAGTGAGATTGGCTTTTGTGCTCAAGTAGACTACGGCCATGCTGTCACTGAACACTTCAAAATGCTGGAATAGATAAATTCTCCAGGATCGCAGTGCAAACACCACCGCCAGGGTTTCGCGTTCTGCAGCAGTGTAATTTCGCTCCGCTTGTGACAGCTTACGACTGGCATATGCCACAGGATGCCAAGCACTATCGCTTTCCCCCTGTTGGAGAAGGACGCCTGCTATTGCAAAATCACTTGCGTCTGTTGCAACTCTGAAAGGCTTCTGTACGTTTGCTAGTTTCAACAGCGGTGCACTCAACAAGGCCTGTCTCAGGGATTCGAATGCATGCTGACGGGGGCCACTCCATTCGAACCTGGCATGTTTGCCAGTGATCTCCTCTAATGGCCGCGATATAGTAGAGTAGTGCTCAATAAATCTTCTAAAGTAGTTCGCAAAACCAAGGAACTGTCTCACCTCCGTAACTGTCGTCGGTGGCTGCCATTCCCTCACTGCTTTAAGCTTCTTTGGATCTGGAGCGATACATTCACCGTCGATGCGATGCCCTAGAAACAGAACATCCTTGACACCAAACTCACATTTCGACTGCTTACAGAATAGCCTATTTTTCCGGAGCGTCTCAAGAACTGTCTGGATATGTTCAAGATGATCTTGCCAGGATTTGCTGAAGATAAGAATATCATCCAGAAAAACTACCACAAACCGCCGTAAGTACGGTTGGAGAATACTGTTCATCAGTGACTGAAACGTGGCAGGGGCGTTAGTTAATCCAAAGCCCATGACCCGGAACTGGAAATGACCGAAGGGAGTATTGATAGCCGTCTTAGGTACATCTTCCTGACGGATCCTAAGCTGATTGTATCCCGAGCGTAAATCCAGCTTACTGAAGTATGAGCTACCTTGAATGGTATCAAACAGGTCATCAATGTTTGGGAGGCAAGCTTTGTTTTTGATGGTGATCCTGTTCAAATTCCGCCAATCACAAACCATGCGCAATGAGCCATCAGACTTTTTAACGAAAAAGACTGGGGCACCGTATGGCGACTTGCTGGGTTCGATGAAGCCCTTGCGGAGGAGTTCCGTGAGCTGGGCTTGCAATTCGTCCATCTCGGGTTTGGGGAGACGGTAGGCAGCCCGTGATGGAGGAACGGCACCCTCCTCAGTCACAATCTCATGGTCGACATCCCTCTCTGGCGGAAGCTCGGTCGGCAGGTCGTCTGGAAAGATGTCCGAGTACCGCCGCAGAAGGTTAGCCAGCTGCTCTTGATGATCTGGGTGTTGTCTGGCGGCTGATGGCTTGCTGTCCTCCTCCTCGTCGTCAGTAGCGTTGACCCACGCCAGGATTCCCTGCGCGCCTTTCCTCAACTCGCGGCGAGCCTGAGAACCAGATATGAGCATGCTCTCAATTGGCGGCGACTCCTGACGCTCCGTATCACTATTTTGGCCGGAAGGGGGTTTAGCAACGAGCGGCTCTCCGTTCAGTTTGACTTCGTTGGTCTGAAAGTTGATATCCGGGTTGTGTCTGGTCAGCCATGGCTTGCCCAGGATAGCATCATAGCGGCTCAACGGAAAAACTGTGAAAGATTGGGTGTTGCTGAAGTCCTTCACGATAACCTTTACCGGACCGGTCCTCTGCAGTCCCGATGATGTTGATGAGCCATCAGCCAGGGTTACCTTCAGTGTTTCGTCCTTGCTCTCCGTAACAAGGCCGTTTCTTTGCACGAAAGCTTCCGATATGAAGTCGTGCGTTGATCCCGAGTCAATAAGCATAATTGCCCGGCGGCCGTTGATCCTGCCCTCAACACGGAGAAGGTCATGCTCCAAAGGAAGCTCCGTGTCCTGTAGTGCGATATCAACGTTGCTGACATGGGATTCCTGTTCGGCAACATCTTCCGAATCAGCTTGCAGCGTCGGTTCTTCCAGCTCTAGTATGCTGTAACGGTTGCGTATGTCAACCGGGTAACCGTTGGGTGCTTTCCGCTTGGTCGCCAGCGAGCGCACGCCATTTTTCACTGGCGACCAGCGTTTGGGTGTTGATTGCTGGGACAATCCCGAGCTAGGTGACCTGGCTTCCGACAAGCGAAGCATCCACCCTGCCGACTCAGGTGACGCCTCTCCTCCGGTGTTAGCCTTTGGGGTCGTACGGGCTGACTTCGGTGCTGAATCGGTTTCGGCTGTTGGTCCGCCGTTTGCGCTGACCTGATCGCTTGGCTCAGATCAGTGGGGTGCTCTCGCAGCACCCGGGTCTTGACAGATGGGTGCAGTCCATTTACGAACAGCAGTCCTCGGGTCAGCTCGTCGATCTCAGGCACTTGTAGGCTTAGGCGCGAGAACTCGGTGACATAGCTCTCCAAGCTGGAGTGCTGCCTGACAGCGAAGAGATCCAGTCGCACCCGCTCTTGATGATGCAACGGACCGTATACCTTGGCGAGGGCTTCACGCAGCGCTGGCCACGTCGAGAACTCCACACCCGTATCCAACGATGCGATGAGCCATAGCTTGGCGTTGCCGCTCAGGAAGCCCGCTGCGTAATCCACCATCACCGATGAGTCGGTGATTCCCAGTGACCGAATCGCCAGCTCAATGGAGAAAGCCCACTCTTTGAACTGCGAGAGCTTGCCATCGAAGATCGGCGGCTCCTTAGCGTGCCGAGGCTTCCCGGACGAATGAGCGGGCGGCACAGGGAGCGGTTGTTGTCGGTTGCTCAGACGGGCGCTGACTTGGCGACTGGCTGCACGGACCTCGCTGGCCAACCTGAATAGCAACACAGAAAGAACAAGGATCGCCACGA